ACACACACACACACACACACACACACACACACACACAGACAGAGTGTATCTGAAAGCCTGCTGGGAGCTCAATGTAAAAGGTGGTGATAAAAATTATCAGTTTGGTTTCTAGAGAACAGAGTTCAGGAAAAATCCCTGATCCTTTGCCTCTGTTACTTGTGACATGGTAACTTTTTTATTTAGAAATTATGAAATTAAAAATTTAATGAGTGAAAATAAGAAAGAAAAGAGACTATACGTTATCTACATGGCAGGAGGCAGAATGCAAAGATTTCACATGACACAAACTATTTGTTTTCCTGTTATGTTGCCTTCTTGGGAAAACTTTGACCTTTTCTAAAACCTTGATATTTTTGGTACCAGTCCCTTTTTTGCCAGCTTAATCCTTTTCAAGTTACCTACTTAAAATGTATAGCTGCAAATGGATCTTCATGTGTAACATTTAAATAGCCATTTTAAACCAAGCTGGATTTAAAGGGATAACGTAATCATGAATAATTCAGTAAATAATTACTTTATGCTAGCCTGTCTTATTGCGGTTATGATAATGACCAGTTGCCGGCAGCCACATTACCGCTACAGTGCATGTCAACAGTTTTCCTTTCCCTGCCTGACGCTTGCAAGTGGCACAGCTGCTATCTATAGTCCATCTCTATTTTAAGACCATGCAGACAGGACGCAATGGAGCTCACACAAATCTTTATTTACCATGCAGCTCGAGGGAAAAAATGGCTATTCCACACTCGAGTCACACACAAAATAATTACTTGAGAGGCCGTTTTAGGAAGAACAGAGATCCTGGTTTAAGAGACCATGGAAATGCCCGAAGGCCTGGGAATCAACCGGGATATTCATGCTGAGAATGCGACCCTTGATCTGGAGAACAGAGAGTGCCAGGCAGGCTGGCTGAGAGTGAGGGTGGAGGACAGTTGGTTCACTGTGGAGCGGGCTTTTCTCCTTAAGTACAGCGACTATTTCTGTGCTCTTTTTCACTCTGGGATGAAAGAAAGTCAGCAAGATGAGCTCTACCTGAAAGGAGGAGTGCACGCAAGAGGTTTCCTCATTGCCCTTGCAGTCTGCAGGGGAGAGATTCCCACCATCAGTGAACCAGATGAGCTTGTCGAAGCGGTCGAGTGTGCTGCTTTTCTACAGGTTGAACATTTGGTCCAGCATCTTTGCGACATTATAGACTCGGACAACTGCCTTCTGCTTTACCATACAGCCTCCATATTTGGGGTGCACGCACTGTTTCACAATGCTGCACTCTTTCTTTGTGACGCCTTTGATGATCTCAAGGATGAAGCAGAAAGTTCAATTCCTGAGGAGCTGCTGCAATACTCTCAAACTTTGTCCCCTTCTTCTTTTATTGCTATAGGGACCCATTCTCCTTCACTGGAGCTGCTGCAAGACTCCTTCAGGATCGTTTGCTACCTCGACGAAAAAGAGGGGCAGTGGAAGCATCTGACAGACCTACCAACTGCTTGCAGCACCTCCATGGCTGGAGTAGCAGTTGTTGACAATCGCTTATATATCGTTGGTGGGGTTTTTGGATACAGTAAGGACACAGTGGACAGTAGCTTCTGCTACAACCCCGATTCAGGACTTTGGACTACTCTCCCAGGTCCCCAGCAACCCAGATATGATTTTACCCTTCTTGGGCATGAAGGTCAGCTCTACGCCATTGGTGGAGAGTCCCAAAAGCAGATAATTTCCACAGCAGAGACGTATGATGTTGTAAAAGGAGAGTGGACATTTATACAGCATGCGCCACGACCTGTAGCATCTGCAGCTTGTGCTGTTGCTAGACGGCGGATATTTATTTGCTTCTGGAAGCCACCAGACACCACAGACATCTATGAATACGTACCTGTGAATGATGAGTGGAAGCTTGCTACCACACTGATCAGACCTCAGAGCTATGGCCACTGTATGGTAGCTCACAAGGACAATTTGTATGTGATGCGCAACGGGCCTTGTGACGACTTTCTTCGCTGTCTAATGGATTGTTATAATATCACAACAGGCCAGTGGACAGCTATGCATGGGCATTACATCAACAGCAAGGGAGCTCTGTTCACCGCAATGATCAGGGGGGATTCTGCGTTCACAGTGAAACACATGTTAACTCTTGTGTATACCATCACTGAAAATGGATGGAAGCCCCGTAAGCAGATGAACGGATTTCCAAAGAGTGGTTCACTGTGGACATGTTTACTCAGGCTTCCCAAGACGGGGCCAGTTATACCACAGCTGGATGCAGAAGGCAAGGAAGGAGAAATGCCTCTGTCAGACCTGTCTGAGGCATATCTGGAAGCTATACAGCACTTGTGAAATGAATGTACAACTGAAAAGTAAAGCGTTTTTTGAGTTTTTAAATGACAAAATAAGTCCTTGAAAATACTGCTGCTAAATAATTCTGAAAGCTTCAAATGGACAAAAATTTACTTTATTTCAATGCATCCAATTCACATGCACTCTCACACACATGCTGACAAGCACTTGCACTGATTAACAACAGCTGCTACTGCAGTTTATAGTAGGGAGGCCACTGTGCATGTGTGTAAAGTTCAAAGGCACTGACGGGATGTTCTAAACCTTTTTCCTGAAGTCACACTGGGCCAATTCAGAAGCCACTGGTCTCCTAGTCAACATGAAACACAGTGTAGCTCCCTCTCACACACTCCTGAACAATCACCTCTCCAGTCTTGTTGCCCCATGGGCTGTTAAATACCTGCTTCTGTGGGAGAACACATTTCACGAAGCCTCGGCTTGCAACTCTGATGGTTGAGGGGAATGATTTTGGCTTGCATGACCACAGACGTTATTTGTGTCATTATATTAAAACTGCTGCAGCTGGGTTTCAATATCTGACAACAACCCATTAACTTACAAGTACTTTTTACTGTAAGTTACAGTACTGTTTTTAGCACTACGCTTCTTAGTGATAGCTGTGCACATACTGTAACACAAGACCAAAATGCTGTCGGTTACATATCAATTTGGAATTTGTCTTCTGGCTTCTTTGGTATACAGTAGGATATCTTGATCACCACTGATTTGTTCCATCTACTATATTACTTCAGCCACTGACTCGGGTCAGTGCTATTAACATTCCCATAACCACAGTGGCAGAGACCCAAATATCTGTGCTTTTTAAGCCAAATCATTCTGCATCATTCTTCTGTTACTCCAATTATGGAAAGAACTGGCCAACACTTACTGTTCTGGGGGGTGGCAGGTCGGGAAGGTGCTTTTGTGGGACGGGGACACGTTTTGCTGCTTTTCCATTGAGCAGGGCATCTAATCTGTCATCTTGGTAACACAAGCAGAGAGTGGAAGGTCAGTATATACCAGGCATTTTGCATTTAAATTCATTTCCATAACATACCAGAACATTTCAGGATAAATGAATAGCTGTCATCTTGCAAGTATAAATTCCACATATCCAGCTATCTCGGTTAAATATTAATACAGTGGTATCCCCAACTAACACAATGATATAATCTATGTATCTATGTGTATATATATA